AAGGCGAATCGGCGGCCACTTGTAATCTCACAAATTACGCTTACATGGAAAATACAGAACCTTGGTTTGCTCGATTTGGTGCTTGTGTTTACAGTTACAGTTCATCTCCCGTGTATGACGGGCTAACAGGCTCGCGAGGACTGGGATGATAATTTGGGAAATTCGAAAACCAGTAGTACTGTAGACCTTCGAATGATGGCTTCGTTCTTTTCCTTGTACCCTTCTACTGCACCGGCTTCTTTTGCACGTTACTATTCTCTCGGGTTCCACTGCCGAGGTGGCCTCTCCAAGATCATGTCGCTATTATGAACCAGGACAGGGACCACAAGTAGGTCTGTGTGACTTTCATTACAGATATCATCAGTATGCTTCTTTTTCTCTCAGAATTATATAAACCGCATATGCATGTCTTCTTTATAAACCTCACCGGTGCCCCTCCCTTCTTTGAACTACCTTTGTTACTTGCAGCATGACTTCTGCTGGTTGTTCTTCTGTCTCCAATGGGGATTGCACAAGCAACGTTGTCCACGACCGGAATTCTCCCTCAAATACTTTCAAAGAGTCTTGTCCTGTTGAAGAGAAAACGGAGACGGACAGTGGTAGCAGTGGTCATGCTAGATATACTGGCTCTGGCATACATGAAGACCCTTATATCGTTGTCTGGGACGAAGAGGATCCAGAAAATCCGTACAACTGGTCAAAGACGCGCAAGTGGATCATCACTATGCAGGTATGTCATCGTTGGAGGACCTTTATATTTCTCATGAGATTCTCACGTCGTATTCAACATTCACTATCATCAGTTGGCGTTGACCACTTTCACGGTGTCTTTCAGCAGTAGTTCGTATAGTGGCGGCTTGGAATACATCGTTCGCGACTTAAATGTATCGGATGAGTTAGCCGTATTGGGTATATCTTTATACGTGTTGGGATTCGCAGTTGGGTATGTGGCCAAAATACATTTGAGCAGATCACGCGCGAATTAATGTTACAGGCCGCTTTTATTCGCACCAATGGGAGAGGTTCGTACGATTAGCGTTGGTGTTAGAGCGTGTCAATTAACGCTGTTTTTGCCCTCGCAGATGTACGGTCGGGTAAGCAACGATCACCGTTTCCAAGTGCTGTTGAAACTGAGGCAGTGACCGTTATCGTTTCTTTAGCGTATAGTGTTCTTGATCACTGTCGGGTTGTATACTCCTCTGCATATCGGGGGAGCTTTTGCTAGGAACATAACTACTGTCCTTATCGTGAGGTCACTGACTGGTATCTTTGGTGCTTCTCGTGAGTTTTATGTTTGTATTTAGGCATGTGGCATACTCAGTCATCCTTCGGGTACAGCTTTGACCAATGCAGGAGGAGCAGTAGCAGATATATTTAATCCTCGTGAGAGGGGTCTTGCGTCTGCAATTTATGCTGCAGTACCATTCCTTGGTCCAGGTTGGCTAATCTGATGTCTCAAGTTTCAATTGCTGTGGTTTTAACTTTTCGATCTCTCCATTCCTTCAGTGATTGGTCCCATCGTTGGTGGCTTTGTAGCAGACTCTAGTCTTGGATGGCATTTCAATTTTTGGTTGATGTTACTTTTGGGTGCCATAAGCTTGATAATGGGGTATTTTCTGGCACCAGAAACGGTATGTCTTATTATGAATAGCGGATAACTCCTCATATTTCATTTCTTCGTCGCAGTACGCGCCGGTTCTCTTACGAAGGCGTGCCAAACACCTCATGCAACTTTCGAATGGTACGATCTTTTACAAATCTAAATACGACATAGGTCGTTCAACATCCTTCATGAAAATAATGAGAGTCAATCTGAGCAGACCATTTGGTTAGTGGTCGAGGTCCCTACATCATTTTATAGCTAACTCTTACGGTAGTTTTCATGCTCACCGAACCGATTGTTTTACTGTTTGCGATCTATATTTCTGTCGTCTACGGCACATTGTATGCTTTGTTCTCGGCTTTCCCTATCGTGTTCGAAACACGAAGAGGATGGTCTGCTGGTGTAGGGGGGCTTGCTTTCCTCGGAGTTGGGGCAGGAATATCCGTAGGGACGGCCACTGCTTCTATTCAGAATAGCATCTATCAAAAAGCGATGGATAAGAGTTCCACTGGAAGAGCGCCCCCCGAAGCGTAAGCATCTTAAAGTATCCAGCAGCAAAAATCAACTCACATAGTAGTGTTTCAGTCGACTGCACATGGCAATAATGGGAGGCGAGTTGCAACATTTTCTGTACAACCCCTTCTAACGAAGGATGCTATTTGCAGGTATTCTCGTGCCTATAGGTCTCTTTTGGTTTGCATGGTATGTTATCGATACGTGTTGCCTACAGATCCCATCCCTCAAGATTTATCGCCAGGACCGCGGATCCTCCCGTGCATTGGATCGTGCCTATTATAGCAGGCTTTCCATTCGGGCAGGGTGTCTGTCAAATCCTTCAGAGTTCAACTGCTTACTTGATGGACGCATACGAAATTTATTTCGCGAGCGCTATCGCTGCTACCATTGTTCTGCGCTCTGTTTTCGCAGCTGTTTTTCCGGTCATAGCACCTACAATGTTCGAAAACTTGGGAGACGCATGGGGTATGAGCATCTTCGCGTTCTTAGGCTTGGCTTGCACTCCCATACCGTTCTTATTTTGGGTTAGTTTTCTCGACCTGACGAACAATCACGAGTCACCCACTGATAAATTTCATCAAGAAACACGGCAAAGCGATTCGCAGCAAATCAAAATATGCCTACAAAGAATCTGACGATTCATCATGAGCCTTCTTTCATTTACAGTTGGACATTTCCGAATTTTCTAAAAACAATATGATGTGTACATTTTTTACTATAAGAAAACAGTCCTCATACCCCACGGCTGGTAGTGTACTTAATCAGTCTTATTTACTGTATTATTCAGTTATTAGCTTTTGAGAACCTGCTGATCCTCAGAATAAAATGAAGAAGCCATATTCACTCCGTCCTTGTAAAGTAGATAGATGTACACAAATGCATATTTTGAATGTCGGGTCCGAAGTCAGCGACATGGTTAGAAGGGCTTGCGCACGAACGAGTCGGAATACTGCCACAACCCAGCTCTATCCTTCCCACTTCCTTTTAGCGCCATGGTTACGGTTCTACAAAGGATCCGCATCGTCAAAGTTTCTACGTCGTTGCGATGAATGCTGTCGGAAGTCACCAGTGTTTCGAGAATAACGGGTGGACCGGCCTTCTCCAACTCGATGTTGACCGCGGCTAGCAGTTGTTGCATATGATGGGGGATGCGGACTATTTGCCGTGTCCGATGTTTCCCAAGTGTTGTCCGCAGTTGGGTAGCCCGTCAGTGAAGCAGGATGTCGAATGGGATGGTCGACGAGTTCATCCTGGGCCGCCGGTTGGGGCATGTTCGGATCAGTGGAGGGGATAGCAACACGCATAAAGTCCCAAGCGGCGCGAGCGGTACCCATTCCCCACGCCTCAGTCGCTTGTCGTTCAATTTCCGCTATAACATTGGACCGAATGCTTTTTACTCGGTAACCTTCATTAGGGTTTGGGAGAGGGAATCTGTTAAATGATATCAGATCCACAGTTTCGGAAGGCTTGAGCACTGAGATGCTTGCCTTCCTCCAAGATGATTCAGCACAAGTTTCTGAGCGCCGATGGTTCTTGCGAACGCTCCGGCCATTTCGGGTAACGAATGTCCTCTAGCAAGAGCCCTTTCTTTAACCACGTCATGGGATCTTTTAGATTTCGGATCAATTTCTTGAGGAATGTGTGCGTCTGCAGCTTCGTGAATTAGAAGCGACGGAGAGGGATCCACGCATAAAGGTGTTATCGCGGATGGATCACAGGTGTCCCCAAGTATAACTATTTTGCGAAAAGGTTTAGCGGTCTCCCTGAAAACATAACCAATGCATGGATCTAGATTGAAATAGTCGAGTGTGAGGAAAGAATACCAACGATAGCAGGATTCCATCACACCTCGGTGTATAATAGGTCCTGCATCAACCACTACTGGTCCGAAGATACCTTTGCCCTGAGCTACCTCTCTCCACAATCCGTCTCCAGAAGAACACAAGATATCCTCTCCAGCAACCTCGTTCGGGTGCATAACTTTCGGATCGCAAGATGTCGCTTGGTCTGCGGACGCCAAGAGTTCATGAGCAACGTAATTGTCGGACATTCTGGTGAAGGTCATTTTGAGTATGCTTCGAATAAAGGTCCGTATTCCAGCTGGTCCATAAATCTCTATGGCTGGATGCTGTATATAAGTTTAATCTAGACGGAACCATAAGCATAAGAACACTCGAAGCTCACAGGTTTTCGAAGGGCCTGCAGCTTATCGGCGTTCTCGCCCACTGGTACAGGAAACAGGAGATTCCGGAGGATAGGAACTATTCTATCGCGAGGGACACTGAATATTGAATACGAATAGACTTGCAGTTTGAGACAATCCCTACCCCATAACATGGTCGGCTGTATTCTCGTAATATAAGCATTATAACACGCACGGAAGTTCATCGAAAGAAGTTCACCATGCATATGCGTTATGAATATTTTTTTGACTTGTGACAATCGGGGATTGGAACGATCTGCACTGTATGGCTGTAGCTGGAACTGACGAAGAGTCCCTTCCGCACAATCAACCACTGGAGGCAAAAAGTTAGCAGTGGAATCCTCACGGATTAGAATATGCGCATACTCCAAAGGGAGCCATCGCCCAAAACATCAGCAACAAGAGATGAACAGTTGCGGGATGTACTAGGACCTCCACCACTCGAGGTTCCGAGAAAAGTCACAGTCATTGTACTAGTCAACATATCTTTCGGGATGTATAGCGCTGAGCGTAAAGTCGAAGAATAGCGGGTAAAAGATGGGCAACGAAATAGTCTTGTCGCAATTCCGACGAGGTTCATCTGTTATGAGGTCGTATGGGAATTTGATCTGTGGGGAGCATATTTTAGAACATTAGTTATACTTGCGCAATATAGACCTATGATGGGACATGGTCAGTGGTAGCGTGGCCGAGTGGTCTAAGGCGTTGGATTTAAGCAATTATTGCCTAGCTTCCCAATGGAGGAAACTCCGCGCGAGTTCGAACCTCGCCGCTACCATGTATTGTATGGACGAAGAAACGCTTCGTCTGGGTGGAAATAGTCTATGGAACAATTTTTTACATTATTATTGCCATACTTCGTTTTGCCGCTATTCCTTCGTTCTTGTCCCATTCCGTTTCCATGATGAGCATTGATAGTAGGCTTAATTTTCATTCCCAATCTGAACTTAATCAGGTCTTACATTGTCGTACAAACAAAACTCAATGAAGTACTTCTCAAGTATGAACATATGTGAAAAATGACCTTTCCGTGATTCCGTTATCAAAAGATCTTTGGAACAGCCCGCGTCAGTGAACATCGAACACTGATTCACGATGGCTGGTCTTACACCTGAAATATTATCTTGTCCACCTGGTCCTTGACGAACTCTGCAGGGTGAAAGAAGATGAGGAAAGGAATTGGAAGTACAACTTGACATACCGTCGAGTTGGTTTGAATTCCTCTTGTTCGTTTGAATTCCAAAAGTTCGAAAGTGAGCTATTTCCACCAGGGACAGTCCTCACACGCCTGGGAGGGTTAAGCTAGAAGCAACATAGAGAGGATCATCGTCACGCACCTGCTAGGTTTCACTTGGGAAGTAAAGTTGATTCCTGAGTGTTCGTCTTCATCCTGCGTTTCTTCTTGAGCTACCGAAGAACTGGCAGGCATTTCACTTTCCTGAATGTGAATGAGGAAGCGGAAAGAACGAAGCCAAAAGAAGGATGTACGCTAGTGATCTCTTTGGGGGGTGCTTGAGACAAAGCATCATCTTCGTTGCTGCTGAATATGTCAGTGTGACCCCCGCCAGGGGTTTGGCGCACGCGACGAGAAGGCTTAAACGCTTCTGAGACAGTCGCAGAACTCGTCGACGCTGCAGAAAAGTCCTATGACAACGATATCTTGGAAGCAGAGAAAACGCACAAGTAGCAGATGCGATGGATTCAGAAGGGTCCATTGCAGAGGATATCTTGCCGAATTTTGCCCATTCTATGTCACAGGATATAATAACCCTTTACGCGCAGGAAATGACCTGGACGTACTGGGAAGCTTTTGAATGTTTCCAAAGTTAGTGTCCACCGTGGTTCCAGTGTACCTGGGAGTTGAACGGTTCATGATTCGGCACGTCGAATTAAGGAGCTTCGTACTTCAGGAATTCGATCAGAGAGCGCTTCGTAAACACGATGCTTGTAGCATCCCAGTCGAGCATGCCTGGAAACAGTGAGAAATTGTATGGAGATGTATGAATTGCCATACCAAGCGCGGCTGACCACTCTTTCTCTTTGGACATATCGATAACATCAGAAGGCGTATATCTGGGCAATGAGGTTTGTGAGAAGGCAATGAACGAGACTGAGAACACGAACGTGGCAGACATTATGGGAGTTGCTGAAAGAGTGTAGTCAAGGGCGAAAGTGGCACTGTGGCAAACAGATTACACTTGTGATCGCGCATCATCATCATGTTGTCTTCTTTCACGGGTATTCAGCGCTTTTCCAGATGCACAAACCGTCGTTTCTTAGCTTCATTTGCCTATACGAAACCTTTATTGGCAAATGATCCTGCAACTCACTCAACTCCGCTCGATATCACAGATGAAGAGCGGGCAGCATTGGACTCGGCTCTTCGTGTTGATCAAGCAGGAGAGGTTGCCGCTAACTGGATTTATTATGGCCAGCATTTCATCCTCGGAAAACAGCCTGTTACAGGACCTTTGATTCAAGTTTGTATCACATCTACCTGACGTTTGATATGTCTTCATAACAATATCTTCAGGAAATGTGGGAACAAGAGAAGAAACATCTTGCAGTTATGGACAAGATGCAGCTTCAACACCGAGTCCGTCCGACTATTCTCATGGACTTCGCAAAGATTGGTGGCTTTGGACTTGGTGCTGCGACCGCTCTTATGAGCAAAGAGGCTGCAATGGCTTGTACGGAAGCTGTCGAGACCGTGATTGGAGAGCACTACGACGAGTAAGAAGAACGAGCCAAGTACTCGATATCTTGGCTAATGTGTTCTCAGCCAACTAAAAGAAATGGAGTCATTGCCATCTACTCATCCAAGCGTTCCTTTATTAAAGGAAGTGGTGGAGGAATTCAGAGACGACGAATTGGAGCATTTGGATATTGCAGTGGTGAACCATGCACAGAGAGCTCCGGGACACGCGTTACTTAGTACTGTCATTGGCGCAGGATGTAAAGTAGCGATAGAGTTGTGCAAAAGATTCTAATGTACACAACCGCAATAAATGGATTCATTCCGGTTTGCCTGCTAAAGGTTGACCTTTGAGCTTCGCGTTCCAAGACCACCGGGACTGTAAGGATGGACGTTAAAGCAGATCGACGAGTGGTGTGAATTGCAGACGCACAGTAGTATAGTTGACTGCAGTATACAGGACAGTTGGAAAGACAACCATACCGAGGATAGCCGCCTTGGCGTTAGCAGGGCTCCATCGGAAACGAAGATAATGTTGCTCGCGCTATAACAAGTCAGTACTTGAAGGGCGCTCCTGTGGGCAAAGTACAGACCCATAGATTGAAGTTTTCGACAGCAGGGTCTGTTTTCAAGCTGCCTGCGGTAGATATGAACCCAAGAAATGGAGAGTCAAAGACTGCAATTACCATGATGTCCGGCCATAATGAAAGTGAGAGATGATTTGTCCTTGTTTATGTACATCATATTTTCTTGCTCTTTACTTCCATCCTTCTCAAAATGGACTACAATGATAATCGGGAATGGGACAGAGGGAAAATTCCCGAGGCGCCTTGGTATCCACACGATTCTCGGCAGAGCTATCATCCCAGAGAGGATGATCACACTACCCAAGGGAAACGTAGGAAATTCAACGACGGAGTATGTGTTTGTCATCTCTACTGTAGTTCACACTAAGCACTCTAGAATAGGGATACCAGGGCCATGATGGCTCTCAGGCTTATGAAGATTACAAGTATGATGCAAACCACACCCGTCAAGGTCCAGGATTTCCGCAAGACCAGTCGGGACGTGGCGGTGGTCCTGGTCATCCCAAGAAGCGGTTGCAGCCTTCAGAACCCAGTCCTCATGTTATATTCCTCGGTCTTGACCCCGACTTCACAGAGTCTGATGTCTGTAACATTCATTCATTCTTGTAGTTTTCATTCTTTTGCTCACTCGCTTATGCTTCTAGTTGCAATCATATCTCAATTCTCATGGATGCAGCGTAGAAACAGTGACGATAATCCGAGAACGATCAACAGGCAGTTGCCCATTCGTATATTCTGCTTTCCGCATGCATTGACGTTATCTCTCTGCGTCTGGATTATCAAGGTTCTTCAAAAGGTTTCGGCTTTGCGCAATTCAGCAGCTCTGAGCATGCTCGTGCTTTTGTGGACCCGTTGTTCCCTTTCGTTCAAGTACCCCCTCCGGCTTCCCATGGTGCCACTGCGACTGCCGCTTTTTACAAAAGCCTTGAAACGGGTCTACCACATAATGGACGGAGGGTCAAGATTGACTATTCGCAAAGCGCCACCCCACACGAAAAAGGCCGATCAAGGGGAAATACCAACGACGGTACTCGGGACATTGGGAATGTTCAGGCGCCTGTCCTACTATTCAGAGGACTCGACCCGCTTTCCGGACCGCAAGCTATTCATCAAGCGATGAGGAATTCATCGGGAGTCGGCAAAGAAGGTGCTCAAGGCATGAAGAGAATCATCCTTGTCAAGGACAAGGTTACGATGGCCAGTTTTGGTTTTGCCTTTGTGGAGTTCATAGACACACTGGTACCGTGCTTCTCATTCTAGTTTCTCATTCTGGTTTCCCAATGCTTAAGTGATTGCTATGGTCCAGTCGGCTTCTGCAGTGCTTGCAGCAACAATGTCTCCACAAATTCATCCCGCTGGGTTTCGGATATCTGATAGGCCTGTTGCCCCTTCGTTCGCTCATCCCGACTCTTTCCAACCGATTCAGGAAATCATGCTTCGAGACGAAGCCTGTCTCGTGTCATCACTTGCTCTCGGCGGAGTGGAGGGCACTTACGTTCGCTACTGGGACGAATCTTCTATGGTCGCAGTTCTTGAATTCCAAGTTGCCACGCCCCAATTATCAACAATGCCTAATGCTAAAGATAAGAAGGAGAAGAAAAAGAAGGGTAAAATCTGTTTTCTCTGCTTTAGTCTACCAATGAGTACCTTTCTGAATAATCCGATCCAGATTCTGCTGCACGTCCTATCGCGCCCATACCTTCTGCATTGCCTATATCTGACAAGCCTGTCACGCTTAGTTTCAACAAGGGCCCCTTCAAAACCGGCATTAGTATGTGACTTTGATGTCCAGGATATGAATACATTTTCATTATAATCTCAGGCTTGGGTTCAGCCGTGAAACCTCTGTCTTTGGGTTTTTCCGCTGATGATCTCGAAGAGAGCGACGACAAAGACGATAGCTCAGGAATCGGCAGCAAAGGTAATCCCCTTATTTGTTCCCCTCGAAGTCTCGACAGTTTATTTTTAGTGAATGACACGAAAGGCGTTGCCTCTTATATGGCAAGTAAGAAGGTAATTTACAGGATCAGCTTGGGAACCGAAGCGGAATCATCTTTTCCCGTTCGCTCATGATCTGCATCATCTGTAGACCATCAACAATATCAACAAGTGGAATCAAGTTCAAGAGGAACTTTCGGGCAGTTCTAAAACAAATTCTTCTGCACTGGTGACCTATCCCTATCTGGCTATTCTCTGGGTGCAATGATTGAACTGCAACATTCCTTCCGATAATAGGTAGCTCCCACTGACACTCCAACGGTGACTTCGGCAAATGCGTCTGCGCCGGCGGGCCCTTCGCCAGCCGAGGACGGATTTGAATTCGCGGACATGAATTTATTCGCATGTCTGCTCTGCTCCCGACAATTCAAATCTGTTGACCAACTCAAGCGGCACAACAAGGAATCCGATCTTCATAAGGCTCGCTCTCTTATTCACAGTTCTTTGGTCGTGATAGTCACTTACGTTTATCATTGAAATGCTGGTATTATGCTTTTA